TTCACCGACTCATCAGGAGGCTGAACCCTCAACAGTCTGTAGAATCCCCTCACTGATTACACTGTAAGTGATAATCCACCTTATATATATATTCAATTTTATTTTTTATTTTAAATTTGGTGAAGAGTTTTGATGTGATTCTGAGGCAAAAGTTGTTGAGTTTATTTTTCTGCATAACATAGTGTTGTTGTTGTTGTTGTTGTTGTTATTGTTGTTGTTGTTGTTGTTTTAGCTGGGACCCTCCCCGGTCCTCGCACGAGCTGGGCACCCGGGACCCGTATGGGAAGGGTCAACCATGGACTGAAACTTGTGCCCTGATCGTATCGGACTGAACGAATCAATGGGCAGGGATGACCGGTAATGCGAATGAACAAGAGTTTCTGTGTCTGAAGGTTGGACTTTGGTGACAGGGAAAGTCTGAAGTATTGAAGTCTGTAGTTACAGGGTTGGGGATTCGAACTAGTTACCTGATTCTTCAAATTCGGGACTTCATGTGTCATTGGCTATCAGCCGTCTTGAGTTCGAACTTGGTACCTCGTGGAGCAACAATAGTTGTTAGACTGGACATTTTGATTTTAGTAGTTGATATGCATAGAAATTGTCCCCAGGCCCGGGACTTGTTTGGTTTTGAATGTGGGTCGGATATTACTAGTCCCTTTGGACGTCAAGTAAGCCTGTAGTGTTTGAGGCTTTGGTACCCGGGCTTAGATTTGGACTAGGCCCGGGTGTACCATATATTTTTTTTAGCCTGGACGTCTCTGGAAGTCGAGACCTCGGGAATGCAGTCAAATGGTATATAGGTAGGTAATTGAAGGGTTTAGTCCTTTTGACTCGTGCTTCGGCACGAAGGTTAGCGGACGTGATGGTGGTTCTTGGGATTGTCGGTTTGACCGGTGGATGTTGAGCGTGACTTTAATTTTTTTCTTTCCTATCTGTGTACGCTCACCGTGTGCTTTGTGCATGTTGTGAGATGCTCGCTGTGTGTGCTTGTGTGCATATCGTGAGTCCTATTGAGTTCATAACACCTCGTAAAGCTCGTGTGAACCTGCTTGGAATACGTGCCAAGTGTGAGTGAGCGCGCTGTCGGACTGCTATTTGTACTTTTACGACTACTATGCTTGATATCGGCTTCATCAAGATCAAGACGTAAGTTGGTATTTTCAAGTTGATGCGAAGATCCACGATGTCGACAGGAGGTCATCCGTACGACCGTGGCGGACGACGTGAAGGATCACAGGAACGAGATCGGTATAATCGAGATGACTACGATCGAGGGAGACGAGGCCATCAGGACTTTGAACGTGGAAGATCGAGGGAATGGGAGAAGAGTGATGCGAGAGAGGAGGTCGACTATCAGCGTTCACCGCCGCCAATCTGCTTCGGCTGTAAAGTTCCAGGACACTATAGGAGCGATTGCTGGAGATTCTGGAGTAATGCAGACTCGAGGCGCAAGGCTGAACGCGATGGGTACATCTGTCCTCCTGATTTCGATAAAAGAGGAAGATCGGGCTCACCTGTGCGTGGGCAAGAAGCGCAATTCCGAAGATCTCCTTCATTGGATTTTAAGACGATAACAAAGATTGCGGAATTTGGGGATACCGTGACTACGTTGAAGGAATTCGTGGAGTTGGAGAAAGCGAAGAAAATGGAGAAGGAACGCAAGCGCCTAGAACGTGAGAATGCACGACGCGAAATTAAAGAGGCGAAACAACGTGAGGAGGAGCGCATGCGTGAAGCGGAAGCAAGGCAAGTAAAGAAGTTGGAGAGAACGAAGAGACGGGAGGAAGAACAGCTAGCAATGACAAAGGCCTTGGAAGTACAGATGGCGATCAGGTTGAGCCAGATACATGACGATATTAAGAATGAAGTGCGGAAAGCAATCGATAAAGGTAAGGCGAAGGTCAATGAGGAGGCTCCAGGCACGTCAGCCGGTAGCACTGGAGAACCGAGTGTTGAAGTTATCACAGACGAGACGAAGAAGCTATCAATTACCGAAAAGAGGAAGAGAGGCGAAGAGGCGCTTGTGGGCGATAGTCCGCCCGTGGTGACGCCAGCAAAACGGTCTAACAAGAGGACAACAATGAGGCCGGTGAGGCTTTCGGAGAGATTGCAGCGTACAAGGACGCATGTGGGGAAGCGTACGGCGAGAACTATTCCAGCAAGGTGTCTGACGACGATTAAACCATTGATACACGATCAGGCGATGGAGCGCATGGTCTTTCAGGATAATACCAGTCGCGAGCTGGCAACGCTCGACTGTGACAAAATCCGTGTTCTGTGTAAAGAGGAAGGTGTAGCCTACACAACCAAGATCCAAGCGATCTCCAACCTGGCGGACGCGAGAGCTGCAGTTCTGTTTCGAACAGGCAACAACGAGCAAAACGAGTGTCGTGTAGCCACTGGGGAGGAGCTAGGTGAGTCAAGTCCCGAAGTTTCGGAGGCCGAATCGCAAGAGTGATATGGTTTGACCATCCAACAATGGCAGGTTGTCTGTGAGACCATTATTGATGTTCATCGAAACTTTGGTTGTATAAATCAGGAGGTCGAGTATATTTTCCGATTGTTGATAGTTTACCTTGCAGCAGTAGGATGTTATAGATGGCTACGAAAATGTGTAGACTCTTGGGTGCGATTATTTGGACGATTTGGGGTGGATTTTGTTGCACAACCACATTGTGTATATATAATTACATCACCAAGATGTAAATCACAGTATGTGGGACAAACGACGAGAAGTCCTGACGTGAGATGGAATGAGCATGTGTCCGTTTGGAAACGAAAAGGTAAATCCACACAGCTGTATCGATGGTGGATGAGATTTGGGATTGAATCGTATGTTATGATTCCCATCGATGTAGTTTCTCAAACTAAATTGTTGGCGGTAGAGACTTGTTTCATTAAGCGTTGGAGTCCATTCTTGAATACGGCCGGGGTTTTGACGAAACGGACTAGGAAGTACGATAAACGCAAAGGCAAACGTGAACGTGCAAGGTCGAAGAAGGAGCAATATGAAGGGAAGAGTTGTTTTGTATCGATTAAGGTCAGAGGATAATGTGAGGAGGACTGGACGGTGCAAAGTTTTGGCTTACTAAGGGATTTGAACGAGAAAGGAATTCGATAATTTGACCTGACTTTCGAGGGTGGAAATCATTGGTGTGATAAGTGGAGGGTCCTCAAAAAAACCTTTGGTCTGTCATCGGTTCGTGTTGGTGATGTCGATGGTAGATTTAAGGACTTTAAGAAAGAGTACGAAAGAGGAGTAGTGTGCAAATTTACGCACCTTCGACGTTGAACACCACGGTCAGGTGTTATTAAACCTTTCCTTATCTCTTTGCTTCGGAATCCCCGAAGGTATGAAACTCTTAAGAAATGGGATCTCCTGTCCTTATCTGCTTTGCTAACATCAGTCAAAAAGTTCAAGAAAAGGAATACTCGTACGTACCTTCGACGATTGATCTCACATTGTGTGAAGGATGATTTTGGTTTCAACCTATCTGCTAAGTTAGTAGTAAGATTGCTCTATGATGATCGGGTTCGTATTTCTGAAGTTAGGAAACTGGTCAATGATAAATTGTCTGAATTACCACTTCCTCCTTGTGTAAAGAAGCGAGCACGTTTTAAGATCCGAATTATTTGGACAAAAAATCCGAATATTGCGGATTTGTTACATAATCAGCGGCAGTTCGCTAAAGCTAATGTGTTGGCCTGCGCATGTGCAGACCTGCCTTACCCAAGGGTAAGAGGGCACGTGCAGTTCCGTTTATATGAGGTAAGTGGGGTACCTTTAATTATGGTCAATTCGGCCAACGTTCCTAAGCCGCCAAGATAAGACCAGTCAAACAGATTGCTAAATGGAATAAAACCGAAAAATTTGGGCACGCATATGCTATGCCTAAACATAAGGATCCTGAACGTTTTCGACCGATTTGCCCCTCATTTTCGGAGCCAACGGCTAAGACAAGTAAGGTCGTAGCTAAGGCCCTGAACCATTTGTTGTTCTCGAGCCCTGCACACTGGCACTTCAATCTGAAGTCGGTATCAGACATCGCAGTTAAGTTTGACGGATTCAATCGAGGAATAGTGAAAGCAGGCATGAGCACCCTTGAATCGCGTACTTACTATATCAAGGATATGTTCAGCCTGCTCCCACAGGAGGAGATTATTAGATTTGTCGAGTGGTTGCTGCAGATTCATCTGGAAAAGAATCGGAGTTTTGTACGGGTCAACGCCCAGGGTAAAGGAGCATCGTTTGGAATACAACAGGATTTGACCATTGGAGGAAATTGGAATTTGGGGACATTCTGGATTTCGACAAGTTTGAACTGAGCCACACCTATACCTTTGCACTATCGGTGTTGATAAAGCAGGAAATAGGAATTCCAATGTGAAAGAGCACAAGTCCCCCATTGGCCTGTATCCTATGTGCTAAATGCGAATTTGTTTTTTTTAATAGCCTGGGTAAGTATAGACCCGATGGCTTTGGAATACGATTGATGGATGATGTGGGGATGATCGTGGTAGGTCGAACACTGACTTTGAAAGATTCCAGGCAAATCTTTAGACTTCGAAGCATGCTACCCCAGTAATTTGACGTTGAAATTGACAGATACGGACGAGAATAAGTGGGATTTTCTGGGGTGTGAAATCAGAGTACAACCCTGTTTCCCGCATGTGGGGAGTGTTCAGTTGTCAAAAAAAGAAGCAAAGACATGGAGCTCTGAGCAACTGGACTTTTTGAACGGTCAAACTTTCGAATCATGGGGCAGTAAAACCCAAAAAAGCGCAGTGGTCAATACCTATCTGCACAGGATTGATAGTAATACTACGATTAGGGCGGAGATTCCTGGTCGGGTTGTAACATTAAAGAGAGAGCTTAGATTAAAGAAGTTTCCAGGGGAAATCTTTGATCGTGTTTTGAAAGCCTTCTCGCATAGGAAGGGTGAACCACGGACTGAAACTTGTGCCCTGATCGTATCGGAATGAACGAATCAATGGGCAGGGATGACCGGTAATGCGAATGAACAGGAGTTTCTGTGTCTGAAGGTTGGACTTTGGTGACAGGGCAGGTCTGGAGTATTGAAGTCTGTAGTTACAGGGTTGGGGATTCGAACTAGTTACCTAATTCTTCAAATTCGGGAGTTCATGTGTCATTGGCTATCAGCCGTCTTGAGTTCGAACTCGGTACCTCGTGGAGCAACAACAGTAGTTAGACTGGACGTTTTGATTTTAGTAGTTGATATGCGTAGAAGCTGTCCCCAGACCCGGGACTTGTTTGGTTTTGAATGTGGGTCGGATATTACTGGTCCCTTTGGACGTCAAGTAAGCCTGTAGTACTTGAGGCTTTGGTACCCGGGCTTAGATTTGGACTAGGTCCGGGTGTACCATATATTTTTTTGAGTTTGGACGTCTCTGGAAGTCGAGACCTCGAGAATGCAATCAAATGGTATATAGGTAGGTAATTGAAGGGTTTAGTCCTCTTGACTCGTGCTTCGACACGAAGGTTAGCGGACGTGATGGTGGTTCTTGGGATTGTCGGTTTGACCGGTGGACGTTGAGCGTGACTTTAATTTTTTTCTTTTCTACCTGTGTACGCTCACCGTGTGCTTTGTGCATGTTGTGAGATGCTCATTGTGTGTGCTTGTATGCATATCGTGAGTCCTATTGAGTTCATAACACCCGGGACCCGGGCGGCCCGGCTAGCAGCCTAGGTTATGAAGAAAAATAAAATAAACAACATTCACTTGAGCATTACATCCCAATTTCTTACCATATTTGAAAAAAAAAAAATACAAAAAATAAAACTAATAACCAAATGCAATGAAAATTTACAGATTTGTATTGCAAAATAATACAAAACCCATTAAAAAGTTTTCAAAAAAATAATTAAATTGTTTAGGCCCCACAATAAAGTGAAAACAAAAAGTAAAAAGTAAAAAAAAAATAAAATAGTAAGTGGGTAAGCACGTTTTGAGACCACCATCTTTGGCGATTTTTTTTTCTTTTTTCGGTTGAGCAAAATGAATTCAAAATTTATAGACATGTAGCTCACATCACACAGAACTCAAAGAAAAAAATCAGTTAAACAATCTTATGTTTAAGGCACAAAATAATTTTTGGCGGGGGTTCAATGCCGTTCGGTTTAGACCCCGAATGGAACCCCAAACGCCCATACGTACGGAGGTCGGCTTGGGGACCTTTGTACGTACGGGCTAGTGACACTATATGTATATGCGTGTGTATATATATATATATATATATAAGGTTGCCAGTGTTCGGGACGGCCCGAATGCCCGAACATTCGGCACCCCCTCTCGCGGCCGAACGCAGACCCAAAGAAAACAAAAAAACAAAACAAAAAAAAAGAATTCCAGAAACTTTGACAAAAATATATGTTATGCAGAAGAATAAACTATACAACATTTGCCTCTACGTTACATCTTAATTCTTTATCAAATTTGAAATATAAATAAAATACTAAAAATAAAAAATAATAATAAAAATTAAAAAAAAATAAACGAGAATAAATCTATTAAGTAGGCGAGCACGTTTTAACACTGCCATTTTAGGCGACTTTTTATTTTTTCTTGGATATGAAAAATGCCATAAAATTTTTTATATATATATATTACATAATAGAGAATCTACAAATAAAGTTTGAAAAAATATATGTTTTTTTCATGCCCCAAAATAAAAGAAAAAGAAAAAGTGAAAAGAAAAAAAAAACAAATTAGTGAGCGGGCAAACAAGTTTTGACACCACTATCTTTGAGAATTTTTCATTTTGTTTTGGCTGGACAGAATGGCTTCAAAATTAAGAGGGAGATACCTTACATAAAAAAAAACTCACTAAAATATTTACAAAAACAAATAGTAATATTTAGGTGTCAAAATATTTTTTTGCAGGGTCCAAACCCCTTCAAGTTTGGGCCCCGTACGTGGACTCGAACGCCCGAACGTTCGGGGGTCAGCTTACGGGCCTCCATACATTTGGCTTGGCAAACCTATATATATATATAATTGTTTGTTGTCCTCTTCTCTCTCTCTGCCTACGGTTTATCGGGCAGTTCTGTTTGTAACGATATATATGGGCAATTCTATTTGACGATATATATATATATATGTACAAAGTTGCCAGGACGAACGTACGGAGGCCCCTAAGCTGACCTCCGAACGTTCGGGCGTTCGGGTCCCCGTACGGGGCCCGAACTCGAAGGGGTTAAAACCCCGCAAAAAACTATTTTGGTACCTAAAAATTATTTTTTTTCTGATTTTTTTTTTACGAGTTCTCTGTTATGTAAGCCACATGTTTCTCCATTTTGAAGTCATTCTATGAAGATAAACAATAATGAAAAATCGGCAAAGATGGTGGTGTCAAAACTTGCTTTCCCATTTACTAATTTGTGTTTTTTCTCTTTTCACTTTTTGTTTTCCCTTTATTTCGGGAATTGAAAAAAAATACTATTTTTTCAAACTTTATTTGTAGGTTCTCTATTATGTAAGACACATATGTATAAAATTTCATGGCATTTGACAAATCCAAAAAAAAAAGAAAAATACCCAAAGATGGTGGTGTCAAAAACTTGCTCGCCCACGCGATAATTTCATTCTCGTTTTATTTTTTCTTATTTTCATTAATATTATTTATTTTT